AATAAATAAATAAATCTTTAAAAAAAAAAAGAAAAAGAAAAAAATCCTGGTGGAGACTGATTCCAGAGCCACCATGTATAAACAAAACTCAAGGATTTTCAAGCCCCTTATATAAAATGGCATAGTGTTTGCAAATGACTTATGTATACCCTCCCATATATTTCAAATCATCTCTGGATTACTTACAATATCTTACATAACAAATGCTATGTAAATAGTTGTCATTTGCATTGTTTAAGGAATAATTACAAAAAAATGGTTTCCATACACCTACAATGTTTTTCAAATATTTTCAATCCATTTGTGAGATCAGTAGATGTGGAGCTGCTATGTAATGTTACCATTGTGATATGTAACAAGACCTATTTTTGGTGAAAATAAGTGTAAATAAAGGCTGGAAAAGCCTTTTGCCAAAGTGCTTCCTTCATCATCAAGAAAAGCCTTCTTCTTCTTCACTACTGCTACCAGTATTCTGACTTGAAAATATTCTTTAAAATATTATCCAGTGTTCTTTATTTGCCACACAAGTGGCTGGCCATCTGTACCTCTTCTTACTCTACATATTTCTTAAAGGACAGGGACAGGTGTTTGGCCTAATGATTAAGTTGGTTAGGTTGTCTGTGTCTCACACTGGGAATTCCTGGGTTCAATTCCCACCTCTGGTTTCTGACTTCAGCTTCCTGCTAATGCAGACTTTGGGAGGCAATGGTGATGGCTTAAGTAGGTAAATCTCTGCCAGCCATGTGGAAGACCTACAGTGAGTTCTTGGCTTCTGGTATCAGCCTGGCCCAGTCTGTCAATTCAGGCATTTAAGAAGGCAATCAGGAAATGGGAGTAGCTTTCACTTGCTCACTCAAAAAATAAATAAATAAAAATAAATAAAAACAAACAAACAAACCAAAAAACCTATAGGGCCACTATTGTGGTGTAAAAGGTTAGGTTGCTGCCTATTGCATTGGTATCTCATATGTGTGCCAGTTCACGTCATGATTGCTTCTCTTCTGATTCAGCTCCCTGCTAATGTGCCTCGGAAAGCAACAAAACATAGCCCAAATCCTTGTGTCACTGCACTCACGTGACACCCAGATGAACTCCTGACTTTGGCATGGCCCAGCTCTAGCCATTGCAGCCATCTAGGGAATGAATCAGAAGACGGAAGACCTTACTCCCTCTCTCCCTCTCCAACTCTGCCTTCAAATAAATAAAATCTTTAAAAATAGTTTTAAAAAGGCACAAGTCTACAATTTTATTCATGAGGTATGAAGACAAAAATCACATTTCTAGAATTCACCTAAGCTAGAGGATTCTAAGATATGTCCCCTAAGCAAAATGGCTATGGAACAGCTTTTCAGCAACTTTTACATAATTAAATATTATATAGGATTAGCAAATAAAAGAAACCTGCTATTTATTTGCAAAGAACCTGATAGACTTCAGATTCTGTAGTCAGAGTATCTCTTTCAAAAAAGAATCAAGAAACTAGAAGCCTGAACTAACTGATAAGAATACCTACGGAAACAGACATAATGGGTCCAATGTACAGTGATAACAAGAAAGAATACATCTAGTTCAATTTTATTACCATTCTCTTCAGAATTAGTCTTGCTCATACATGTATTACCCAGCAGAGTGGGCTAATTATTAATCTGCTTATTTCAATGTCACTGTCTCATTTGTCTTTACAAGACTGCTCATTTTCCAATTATATTCATTAGTTGCTGCATCTAACTTTGATCATATAAATGTCCATAATCTTGAATGCTTTACTATAGCTAAACCCTCTAAGAAATAGAGCAATTCTCCAACTGAAAGTAATTTTTCTTTTATGCCTACACGGTAATGCTTTGTATCTTTGCTACATAGTAAGTTTTTTCAAGGAGAAATGGTTAAGTGAAACAATAGATGATTCCTGGCCCATACTTCTAGCAAAAGAACCTATCTTCCTGTTAATGTATCATATTTTACACCCTGTCATAGGGAATACCTTTGTGCTCATCTGTATTGCAGGTTGATTTTCACTAGCATTATGTTAAAGTCACACTCTGCAAATCACCTAATACATCAGTCTGAGTTATCACTGACCAGCCTTACTCCTACTAACACAGATTTGGTCCTTTAATTAACCTAAACTGTTAATCTCCATTAATACATTCAGAATTCTGTTTCAATAATTCTTCCCCTCTATTTCACATCAAGGACATCTCTGCCTTGTTCTTATACATATTTTCTAGGAAGCATTTTTCTCCAATACTAACTCCACAACTGACTTCTCTCCTCTCCTTCTCTAATTACTAAAAAGAAGTTTCACTATTAAACAACACCTTAGATCCTCAGAATTTTTGATCAAAGCCAGAACTACCTTTAAATATTTTAATTTTTTAAAAGATGACATGTTGAATTTATTATATTCACGTTTGACTTTGTGGTTTCCTGCAATACTGAAAAGCTAATTATGGTCAAATTTATTAAATATGTACACATGGTACAACATCTATAACACAGGAGTGAATCATGCACTTACAAAACTAAAGCTAAAAGGCTTTCAAGATGATTTGGGATAGCTTTCTCTTTAATGGGGAAGAAATGGGGGCAGAGACAAGTAGCTTTCTAACTAAAACGGGAAACAGCCATATGTCTCAGCAGTTAAGATACCACACCAGCTATTAAGAGTCCTTGGGTTCAAGTCCCTGCTCTGTTTCTAAACCAGCTTCCAGCTAAGGCACATCTTGGGAAGCAGCAGGTGATGTACTCAGGTCCCTGCCACTCACGTGGGAGAGAGACCTAGAGAGATTTCCAGGCTGCTCACCTCACACCAGCCTGGCATGGCTGTTGCAGGCATTTGAAGTGTAACCATCAGATGTAAGATTTTTCTGTCTATGTGTCCCTACCTGTCTCTCCCTCTCTCTTGCTCTGCTTTTCAAATAAATCAATTTAAAAACTAAAAAATTCTGTGAAATTATTTACCAGTGGATAAAAAAATCAAGAAACCAAGACCAAAAACTATAATAGTGCATCCAGCAATTAAGTCTTGTCTTGGGATGGCCACATTCCCTGTCACAGTGCCAGTTCAAGTCCCATCTGCTCTACTTCTGATTTTCCTGCTAACGTGCCAGGAAGACAGAAGATGATATTTAGGTTCCAATCATGCACATAAGAGACCCTGAGAATTCCTGGCTCTTGATTTCAGTCTGGCCCAGCCCTGGCTGTTGTGGATATTTGGGAAGTGAACCACCAGATGGAATAAGTCATCTCTCTCTGTCTTTCAAATAAATAAATAATTTAAAAAAAAAAAATCAAGTTGTACTCAAAATACTAATGTCAAAAGAATTATTTAGGACTTAAAACACATTTCTAAGAGAAAGAAAATAGATGCTAAATGGGTTTATAAACTGCTACACAAATACATATTTATTTATTTATTTATTTATTTATTTTTTTGACAGGCAGAGTGGACAGTGAGAGAGAGAGACAGAGAGAAAGGTCTTCCTTTTCCATTGGTTCACCCTCCAATGGCCGCCGCGGCCGGCGCGCTGCGGCCGGCGCACCGCGCTGATCCGATGGCAGGAGCCAGGAGCCAGGTGCTTTTCCTGGTCTCCCATGGGGTGCAGGGCCCAAGCACCTGGGCCATCCTCCACTGCACTCCCTGGCCACAGCAGAGGGCTGGCCTGGAAGAGGGGCAACCGGGACAGAATCCGGCGCCCCGACCGGGACTAGAACCCGGTGTGCCGGCGCCGCTAGGCGGAGGATTAGCCTATTGAGCCGCGGCGCCGGCCACAAATACATATTTAAAGGAATTTGTGTATTTGCAAGCGTCTTACAGATTTTCATTTTACTTGTAAATGTATGCTTTCCATTCCCTTGTTGAAGAAATAACATTATTAATCCAGCTTTTCAGATCTAACAGTTATTTTGGGTCAATGACTTAAAGGAAAAAGAATTTTCTACACTAAATAGAGGTAAGCAAGTAACAGTATTGGAAGATGTGTCCAAATTAGGTTTACCACTTGGTAGGATATAGGCATACAATAAGTAGATTAACAAGAACAAAGACAGAGAGCTCGAGAGCAGGAGTCTTACACAGGAATAATTTTCCTGTAAGAGGCCAGATATTTACCACTTTATTTCAACTCTTTCAACACTATCACTGTAGTGTCAAAACAGACATAGACAAAACATAAACGACCTTGCCTAGGTTCCAGTAAAATTTTATTTATGAACACTAAAGTTTGAATTTCACATAATTTTTATAAACCAAAATTTTTCTTTTTTCATTTTTTTCCATTTAAAATATAAAAACCATTCTTAACCCACTGGCATCCATGAGTTTGGCCTATAGACTGAGATTTGCTAATCCTAAGGAATGGTGGGAGAAGGGAGGCAGGGTACACCTAGTTTAACAACTAAGAGGACCATATGTGAATGCTCCTACATTAAACCCAAATGCAGGGGCCGGCGCTGTGGTACAGCAGGTTAATGCCCTGGCCTGAAGCGCTGGCATCCTGTATGGGCGCCGGTTCGAGACCTGCTGCTCCACTTCCAATCCAACTTTCTGCTTTGGCCTAGGAAAGCAGCAGAAGATGGCCCAAGTCCTTGAGCCCCTGCACCCATGTGGGAGACCCGGAAGCAGCTTCTGGATCCTGGCTTTGGATTGGCACAGCTCCGGCCATTGCAGCCAACTGGGGAGTGAACCATTGGATGGAAGACCTCTCTTTCACTCTCTCTCTCTCTCTCTGTGTAACTCTTCCAAATAAATAAATAAATATTTAAAAAATAAAAACCCAAATGGAAAAGAAGCAATCCCCTCAAGCCCAACATGTCCCACAGTGAAGAAATATTCTATTTCATCATCTCTAACATAAAAATAGCTCCAAAACCAAAATCACTGATTTATGAGCAAAAATGATTCTAATAAGAAAAATGCACTGATTATAATTTTAAATAGGTAAACTATTTTGTAGAAAGTATCCTAAAATTATAGCAATAGACACATAATTCATTACCATTTTGTCCCTGAGTCGTTCTCCACGGATAAAAAAGTCAGCACAGCCATTCTCTTCCTGATGAGGGACTTTGAAGACAGTGACGCTGCTTAGTCCACTCCCTCCAAGTGGTAACCAGCCACCACTTGAGTCATCTCGGGTCATCACCACAGCTCGCACTCGTGCATAACTATTACTAAAACAGATGCAAAGATCAGGAATTAGCTTTTCCATAAACAAAAAACAGTGAAACTGTCAGTGTTTTCTGAGAAACCAAAGACTACATTAGTTAATATATGCAGTGACTAAAGTGTTTACTATTTTCATGACAGTCCACAGAAAGTAATAAACTTGAAAGAGGTCAAAGCCCATAAATGAACAAACCGTAAAGGTTATCCTTTATTTTGAAGGCTAACCTTGAAATAAAAGATTACAGAACTCTTCCTTCTATTCATCGTTTCAATAGTTCAAGCACATTTGCTTACCACAAAATGAGTTGTGAAAAGATCCCAAAGACTAAGCTGTCAAACTACAGAGGCCACCACCAAGCCTGTCTATATATGTTGTCTTGCTGCAATATTATAACAAGGACAAATTACTGCAATGTTTTAGCACATTTAATTTAACTAAGGCATATGAACTCTAATGGTTCTGCAATATATGATAAATAAAATGCTGAAACAAGCATACTTAGATGTCACTTTTTTTATTTGTTCTATTAACTGGGACTCTAAATTATTTAAATGGTCTGTTTAAATTACTATGAAGCAAATCAGTCTAAAGAAACTTTTCATGTCTTCTTTTTGTCAGGCTCTATTAAAAGAAACTATGTTCTAGTTCCATTTCGGAATCATTTTCCAATGTTAATGATTCTTTACAACCTAGAAAATGTGCTTTATGTACTAAATGATTGATACGACATCTAAGCATTTAGTTCCAAAATTTTTAATCATTAATGAAATATTCTCTGGAAACAGTATGCTTTGCTGACTTCTTAGAAAATTATATTGAAAGTAGCATAAACTTCTCCTGGTTAATAAGAATAATGATGAATTCAAATTCTATGTAACATTTCTGTGCTTCCTAGTACGTCTCTAAATCTTCTTGGTTTCCAGTTATCATTTCTGTTGTCATTGTGCTTGTCTGAAAGTTCCCCATTGTTTTAACTTTACCTGTTTGTTTATACTAGTGAAGTTTACATTACTTTATAATATCATGCACTGATTTTAAATATGCCAAATTCTACAAATTCTAACAAATGGAAACATTCATTGTTATCATCTGAATGGTTATTTCTTCATAAAATCCTTATGCTGAAATCCCAAATTACGATCAGGTGGTATCAAGAGATAGATTCCTGCCATGTGATTAGTGCTCTTATGAAAGAGACCATAGGAAAGCTAGATCATTCTCCCCAGTGAGGCCACAGCTAAAATGTACCATCTATGAACTAGACAGGGGTCCCTCACCAGACACCAATTCTACTAACACTTAGATCCTCGATTTCCAGAACTGTAAAATAAATTTTGGGGTGGGGGGGATGGCAATGTGGTGTAGCAGGTTGAGCTGCTGCCATCCCATATAGGTGCCAGTTCAAGACTCGCTGCTCCACTTCCAATCCAGCTCCCTGCTAATGGCCTGCGAAAGGAGCAGAATAGGGCCCAAGTGCTTAGGTACCTGCCACTCACATGAAAGACCTGGAAGAAGCTGCTGGCTTCAGCACAGCTTAGCCTCAGCTGTTGTGGCCATTTTGGGAGTGAATCACTGAATGGAAGATCTCTCTTTTTGTTTCTCTCTCTCTCTCTCCCTCTCCCTCTCCCTCTCTCTTCTTCTCTCTCTCTGTGTGTGTGTGTGTGTGTGCCTAACCCTGCCTCTCAAATAAAATAAATCTTCTCAAAAAATAAGAAATTTCTGTTGTTTTATAAACTCTCCTGTTTGCATTAGTTTGTTACAGCAGCTCAAACAGACTAAGACACACATACAAACAACATGATAAACAAGATGTGGACCATTTTCATCACACCAGAAAATTCCCTTATGCTGCCTTTCCATCAGAAATTTGCTCTTTTTTAACACATAGTTTTGCCTGGTTTTGGCCCTCACACAAATGCAATCAAATAGAATTACCACTTGTACCCTTTTTGTAAAAGTTCTTCTGCATACTAAGTCATTTTGTGTATAAAAAGTTCATTCTTTTTTAAAATCACATAATAGTCCTCTAATTGAATAAATTTATCACAATTTTTTGTTTCTTATGCTGATGAGTATTTGAATTATCCCTAATTGTTGGCTACTATGTCATAATTATTTTTGTACAAGTCTTTTTGTAGATATACGTTTTCATTTCTCTTAGATGATTACCTATAAATGGAATGAAAAAGTTACGGGATAGGGAAATGTTTAACTATATAAGAAACTAACAAACTATTTTTCAAAGTGTTTGTATTCTCATCAGTATTGCATGATAGTTTCAGTTGTTCTACAAACTTGCCAGTATTTGGTGTTCTCAGTCTTTTTAGTTCTATATATCGTAGGGAGCGATGGCATTTCACTGTGGTTTTAATTTCTAGTTCCCTGACTATGCATGATGTTGAATACCTTTTCATGTGCTTATTGGCCGATTGTTTATCTTCTTTTTAAGAGCACTGTGACCTCCCATGGCAGAAGGCAAAAGGCACAAAATTTCTCCCTCTCTCAAGCTCCCCCCCTTTTTCAAAGATTTATTTTATTTCAAAGACAGAGTTAGAGAGAGGTAGCGACAGAGGTCTTCCATCCGTTGGTTCACTCCCCAAATGGCTGCACCAGCCAGAGCCAAGCCAATCTATAGCCAGGAGCCACAGCGCCGGTCCCTCCAGCCCTTCTGAAACAGTTATTAAAGCATTCACAACAGTTCCACCCTGATGACCTCAACCCCCAAAAGGTCATGCCTCCCAAAACTGCTGCACAGAGGAAAAAAACTCCTGAAATCATAGGAATTAATGATGTAGAAGTCCAGGTAAGAGGTAACACTGGGATGGACTAGGGCAATAATATTGCACAGAGCCGGGGTGGCGCTGCGGCATAGCGAGTAAAGCCACTGCCTGCAGTGCTGGCATCCCGTATGCTCTACTTCCGATCCAGCTCTCTGCTCTGGTCTGGGAAAGCAGTGGAAGATGGCCCAAGTCCTTGGGCCCCTGCACTCGCGTGGAAGGCCTGGAAGAAGCTCCTGGCTCCTGGCTTCAGATCAGTCCCTGAGTGAGCCAGCGGATGGCAGACTTCTCTTCCTCTCTCTCTCTCTGCCTCTGACTCTCTGTAACTCTGCCTTTCAAATGAATAAATAAAATCTTTAAAAAAAAAAAATAATGCACACAGGGAGGACTGTACTGATGTGGTACATTTTGGAGGTAGCTGATGAGATTATAACTACAAAGCAAGTGCTCCATATGTAAAATTCTCAAAGTAACCATGAGCGTTATTTTCTATAAATTTCAACTGGTATTTCAATAAAGTTAAAAGGCAAAAGACGATGACCAAACATAAATTTTGCCTCAGTTATACTGATCCACATAGTTTCTTTGAAAATAACAGTACCATCTGAGCCAAAACAACTCAAAAGTTATATTTTATTTCATTTTATGGATAAATGCATATGACAGCTTCATTTTCAAATTTGCGTATAGACAAAATATTGCTTAACAAATTAAAGATACAGTTACAGAAAGTTTTACAGGCACTAATAGCTTTAACTAACATAAAGTGCAAAATGTCCTTGGTCTAAAGTGGTCTTTGTCTCTTTTACCTCTTAAAAGAGTCCTCTTGCTTTGTGAATACCAAGTATATTACATGCCTACCCAAATGCTATCTAAGTTGAAGGTCTAAGTTTAGATAATTTATTAAGTGTTTCCTGCTAGCTTTATTTGTTCATTATAAGAAAAAAGTCAAATTTTAGAAACTTAAAATGTTTGGCAGTCAAGCTCCTTAGAAAAAGCATGTATTCTAACCACATATTAGGACATTTATTGATACACAGAATAAACAGTTTTAATACTGATTTCTATTCTTCCCATTTCCTGGTCACTACCAAAACTCCAAATTTTCCCTTTTCTCCTCCATGCTTACTTTAGAGAGAGATCAGAATACACCATGTCACAATATAGTACTCCAGACTTACATATGCATTTGTTAACAGTGGGTATGTTTACGAAATGATACTCTAATAGTAATATTTTGTTAGCATGAGGTAAGTTGTAATTGTCCATGATATTTATAGATTAAAATTCCATCCATCCTTTGTCCTTAATGTCAATTAGCTAACATATTAGCACAATATCTATTTCATTCAACTAAGTAACTAGAAAAAAGTGACACTGTGATACAACAGTTTCTATAGAATTCTAATCTTACACTGGTTTTATTTTCATTTTCCATATATTTTTGTTTGCTTAGAAGTATTAATAATTATTGCAAGGAAATATTATTTTGATGAATGCTTAAATCTTAAGACCTAAAAATCTATTTCAGAGCAACTTTGCCCCTTAGACCAAAAATTCTTAATCTCACATTGGTGAACGTTTTGAAACAGTCTATGAGCCTCCAAAATTGTATGCAATTGTGCGTTTTCAGCTTTATGTATATTTTCCTCAAGGAAGATTGTATATAGCTTTAATCACAATTTCAACAGCATCAATAATTTCCTTGGCTTGTCCATTTCAGAACCACTGCTACACAAAACCGAAGGACCTGTACAGCTCTGGCTATTGCTCAGATCTGTTTTCTAAATTTAAATACATTTCTGATTGCCATCTAGTTATCTGTGATGTTTAGGTTTCACTGTTTTAAAGCTCAACATTTCTAACATAAATTCTTTCTTTTGTTTTCCTTCCCCTCTATACCTCTCTGCTTTCTTTTATATTCATAAACCGAACTACATCTTGATTTTAACACAATGTGACCCATTTGGATTTCTTGACCTTCAGGTTGTAATACCCAATTTCTACATTTTTAGTCACGAAGTTTGTAGTAATTTGTTACAGGAGAAACAAAAAAATAATACAGAAAATGAGGGAAAACTTTTAACAATCTTGACGATATGGAAGCAATCTGTATACATGACATGAAAGTAATTTATACATAGGAAGGAAAAGCAACTGCTATCAATTTCTAACTGTAAAAAAATCACACCTACACCTAAACTGAGAAGTTCATAAACCCCCCCCC